GAAGGCACATTGAAATCAAGCTGTTAAACACACCATCTCCATTTTTTATTTCACTAGAGTATGTTTGCTGTATTTTTAAAAGAGCATTGAAAAGCCCAGGAGATGAATTCTGCTCTGAAATTGCTATTTGCTGACATAGAAATAGCTGTAAAAATACAAATGGAGAAAAATACAGTATAGCAATATATTTTCATTTATTTGGGGGAAAAGTAGTTTTAAAGAAGAATTATAGTCTGTCTTCTGAATGATAAAGCAGTATAACTAGCATTAAACACAGCTGAAATTTTGTAATGACCAAACCTCAGCTCATCCAAATCCCCAATAGCATTAAACTCCCTAGAATTGGGCCGTAAATTTTATTTGCCTTACAACAGACATGAGACACAAATGTTCCTCCTTATACAGTCATATTAAGTGGCTGCAAAAGAAGATGACAAGGCATTGTAGAGCAGTGCATCTAACCTTTTTAAGCTAGGGACAGGATCCAGCTCACACAGCTTTCAAAACTACATTTAAAAACAGGGTAATTTCACAAATTCTGATACAACATGAGGATTACGTGTGGTGAGTCACGGGGGGATTTAGCAGCTGCAGTCTTCCTGTAAATCATCCAAAAGCTTTTCTTTATACTTTCATTCTCTTGATTGACATTTTCCATGTAAGTTACATGGCTGAACCTCAGCTTCTATCCATGCTTGTGTAATTTGATGGGGGTTTTATGTATTTTCATTGCTCTTTCACTGTCCTGTAACATGAAATTTGATGCTATGTTTACTGGGGTGTTGCAATTTTACATGGAACCGATCAGAGTATTGGATAAAATTTTTTCTTTAAACAAGCTAAAGGCTATAGAGGCGGTCCTAAGATTAGTTTCTAGAAGTGAGAGTCAGGGACTAGAACAGTAAATTATGAGACCTGAAAGACTCCTTTGGAAATCCTTAAGGTCCACAGAGCTGCAGCAGCTCCTTTGGGGAGCTGATGGAGTGTGCCACAGCACGACTCCCTGTGCTCCCCGCACGTGGCTATTGCAGTCAGTTACATAGTTTTGCTATTATTGTTGTTAATTTAATGTGGGTTTATTTTCATTTCTTTCACTAGGATGTTCCGACATATTTCTGGTGTAGCCTTATATTCCCTTCCCCTTGTTTTCATTGTCATTTGGACACAGTCCTGTTTGGATTGAGTTTCTGAAATGAACCCTGATTCACAGGTGAATCACACTGCTTCCACAACAAAATTAAACATGAGAGTATTTCGCTAGTTCTGGAAACAAATTTCTAACATTGAGAATAAAACCACAGATATATACAAATGGAAAATAAGAAACAGTTTTACAGTAATGAGAAATGGAAACGCAGGAAAAGTACTGTTACAAATTTTGAGATCCAATATTCCTTTTTATCTCTTAATTACACAGTTTACACAGCAGTTGTTTTATAAATAGATATTTGGCCCTACTAGTGGAGATTTCACAATACTCCTTAAATAGCAGAGCCTGACTGAGAACCAGGTGGTGCTCAGCCATGTGCTACATAGTTTAGGGGGGAAAAGGGAACTATTGTTTCTTTCTCATATTTGGTATTTTGTAAGACTTGGACACTAAAACCAAGGCTCATGCATGTTTGGAATTAAATCTTTATAATTGTTTTAATTAAGGTGCTTCAGTTTATCTTGTAATCTCCATTTTATGGCCCATCCCTGTGAACTGCAAAGCAGTGGTGACTCATGACTCATTAAGTGTTGAGAGGTTTGTCTTCCTGGGCCTGCTGGCTGGCTCCCTCCTCCACCAGGGACCATACGGCTTGGGCTCGAAGCTGCCCATCCAGGTGCAAAGAGGCCATAAGCATTTCTGGGGCGCCCACACCGTGCGTGTGTCCTCCAGCACGAACGCTCTGTGCTGCATCCAACTGGCCACTGTGCCACTGCTTGGGTGGCTCTGATCTGAAGTTAAAATTTCCTTCCTCACCAGCTATCAAATTTCCCTCCTCACCAGCTGTCCTGACTTCCCAAACAAAGCAGTTGTGCCTCCTGATGGCTATACTGCTTCACAGGAACTGCTAAAATAAGCCAGCTCTCCAAAGACCTGTTGAAGAGTCCTTATTAAAATCCTCATAAGTAATATAACGACAACACACCTCCAGAACCTCTGACAGGGATGTGGTATAGCTGGGCTTCTCTGGCAATAACGTTTTCCTGTTTCTTCTGGTTGGAGTCTCAAAGAAGCAAGTGGCTTTGCCAAACTGTGGGTTTGCTCTTTTATTCAATATTGTTATAACCAATAAAATGTGTAGCCAAACTGCTGAATTGCAAAGAACAATATTACTACTGTTCTCACCAAAAGCACCTTTTAGTAGCATCATCTCAGCAGCTGGCTGTGTCCTGCTCATGCTGTGTCAGGCAGGGACCTCTCTTTGCTTCAGCAGTCGTGTTTCACACAAGGCAGACTTGAGGGAAGCACTCGAGATGATAGTTGATTCACAGGTCCCTGTCTCAGTGGGAATTTACACCCCTACAAGAAGACCTCAGACATCTTGCAGGCCATCACCTCCGCTCTTTCCCCAACTGTCAAACAAAGACTTGAACATATGAATAAGTAAAGAACCTCATTCCCTACATTACTGGGCTTCAACAGATTTCCACACATTCTTTTCAAGAGCTCCTCTCGCTGATTCTCCCACCTCAAAAGACTGCAGACACCCTCCCATGCCTGGAGAAGGCAAGAGGAATAGCTTGTACCTTCCAAATCCTTCCAAAGATCTATGCTGTTGAAATACTTCCTTTGTCCCAAAAGGAGATATAGAAGGAAACCCACACTAGGAAACCAAATGCTGTAATATGTCATCCAGGATTGGGGATGCTGATATGATCCTCATTACCCTTTCAGTATATCAAGGGAATTGATTTACAGCTCACAGTGTGAAAGACACACTCTCAAAGAAGCATTCATCCCACACATAGACGACTTTCAGATTTGAACTGGATAAACCTTTGCTACAGCACATCACTTCTCACTGACTCACATCAGGTTTTATAAAGGTATTAGTGGCAGCATTTTGAACATGCACAAAACCTCATTACGCGCTTGCTGCTTTCCAGATAATGCCACGGTATTCCTGCAACCCATCACAACCAGGTGCCTCAGAGGCCAAACCCCACCTTCCCCAACAGCATAAAAACTGGCATAGTCATCGAATTTTGCTCCAAGGATTCCTTTCAAGTTCAACCCTTATTCTTCATGGGTCCGTGAAAGTTGTTTCTTCGCACAGTGGTGTCACATCCAAGGAGGGTGTGACAATTATCAGCAGTGCTGTCCGGCTCATTCCCAAGCTACCTTACACTATGACAAGATTTCCCTATGGCTACTCCCTAAATTTTTTGCTGAGAAATTTTGCCGTTTCCCGTTGCCCAAGTTACCCATTTACCCTGCAGTGCTTCTCAAGCCTCATTCCAGCCATGAACAACTTGGCTGTCAGCCTCCTATTTGCACAGAACAAAATCCTTGTGCTAATCCCCTAGATAGTTCTGCTCCTGGGCTGAGGAGTTAAAGGTTTTATACTTTCTAGTTTGAAACTTTTTAAATGGATCTTAGATCAGATATGCTTCTTTGACACTCATGCATGTAAAAACAGGAAAGCCCCGGCCTCGGTGACCTTCTTTGGATATATTAAGTTATTAAAAGTCAGCGTGTGCAGTAAGTGTTTGCAGAACTGAGACTACGGGGGGACAGAACGCTGAAGTCACAGTGATAACTTACCTTATTAATTTAGAAGGTACAAACTTAAGATTCAAATCATGGACTCTTCCTGAAAGTGCAGGGTATACATTTGAAGCAAAAGACTTTTTTCATTAGATATTATTCACAAATATTCAGTCATGTTGGCAGTAAGCAAGTCAATTGACTTTTGGCTAAACCAGTGTATTTCTCCTATCATAAAATCTCATCATCAACGAAAAAAAAAGCCCAGATTTACTCTGCTTTGTGGAAGGCCTGACATCTAGTCCCAGGAATTTCAGTGGATAGTAATGCAAGCACCACAGTCACATTACAGCTGTACTGGGGAAGCCAAGATTCATATTGTTTGATGGCACAATCTTCAGTCAACTACAAAGCTGATTATTAACAGGCTTTCAGAAGAAGTCGTGTTCATCTGTTGGAAGTCAAGAAAAAACATGGTATCAATGCTTCTGAACATGCATGGTACAATATCAGGAAATTTACTCTTTCAGCAGAAATAGTAAGAGTGTTGGTTCTCCAAAAAAAAAGGAAAAACCTCTGTACATTTTGTCTGTTTTAAATTGAGAAGAGAAAAATGTTGCCTGAAAGAGAAAACTGTTGATTACGCAGAGTCACTTCTGGGAAAGTCTTGTCTTAGTTTGTTTTTCTTTGGGGGCAGATTGGTTTTGATTAGTTATTTTTGAAGTAATTTGTAGATCCAGACCAAATTATGTAGCATTCTGACCAAACAAATGCTTAGAAATATCCTGTAAATGAAACACCCATTCCCGAAGTTTGGAATTAACTTTTGTTGCTTTGAAAATAGTACTAATTGCCCTAGTATCTTATCTTTATGCTATAAAACTAGAAGTGTTTAAAAGAAAAAATAACATTGAATGTGATAATAGAATTAGAGCCCTTCCTCTTCTTAGGTGATAGTATAGATATTTGTGAGAATCTAATCCCATAAACAAATAACATTTTATGTTTGTTCTTAGCACCTGAAAGCAACGTTTAGCTCAAAATAGAAGTACTGAGATGAATGTTTGTAAAGCAGAGTTTTAGAATATGGTTACCAGAAATGTATAGCTAACTCCCAGCCAGCTCCTCCCCATCTTCTTCCTTTCTTCCTGTATGCATGTGTGCTTTCAGAATGGGACTAGTACACGTAGGCACCTTGTTCTTACAGGTAAACCTAAGAGAACACACTGAATGTGGACCAGAGAACAGCTTTTTCATCCTTCCCAGGCTGACGAGTATTTCACGGTTTGTGTTTCCTTTCCAGCTGACCCCTTGGTTGGAAGTATTGCCACTCAGTATATGACCAACAGAGCAGAGCACGACAGAATGGCCAGACAGTGGACCAAGCGATATGCCACATAGGAACCTACTCTAGGATTTGCTGGACCTGTGCAAGCACATTCACTAAGTGCATCAATAGCCCTTCCCTTCATTCTTATTTTTTATCAAATTTTGAACCATTTTGTGACAAAAGGTTGTCCTTACTTTCTTTTTTGTTTTATTTTTATTTGTTCGGGGGTTTTTTGTTCTGTTAACTTGAAAGTCGTTTCCCTCAAATGTAGGCAGGGAATTTTGGTTATCAGTGCAAAGAATGTTGGATCTGTAATAGTATAGAGCTTTGTCACAAAGCTTTGTATTAATGTGTGGGTTTTTTTTTTTCCTTTCATGTGGTTTTGGGGAAAACAAACAAATTCAGAATTATATCTCATTTCTACTTAAATGTAGTGTTTAGGGTTATTTTTTTGTACTGAAGTCTTTAATGGTGGGTGCATGCTACTGGGAACAAGTTTTGTATAAAAGCTTAAAATCAAGAATCACTGTGCATTACTAAGACTGTGTTTATCACTAGCCTTCTGTTTCCCACACAAAAGGCTATTGCGTTGAACAAATTAATATGTATTTTGATTTACCTAAAAAAAAGAAAAAAAAAAAGTGCTTGTAAATTTCTTAGGGACCTGCCACTTTTAACTGTGGATCAGTTGATGTACACTTGTATTATTAAAGCACTCAATAAAACACTGTGGCTGATAAATGCACTTCTTGCAAGACGGTGCTTTTGTGTTTCTGCAGTCTAGGCTGCATAGTCCTCACATCATACTACTGCAGGTTAAGCAACTATTTTTAGACCTAAACTATTCATTCCTTCTCAACAATGCATTTCTTAGCTTAGAATTCTTCATTGTGTTATCTTTCATATACAAACATCTTCCGAATTTTAAGGCCTTTCCTTCATATGCCAGTGCTCAGCTCAGCCATTCAGAAGCCTCTTGCTGCATCTTTTATACTGTGGCTTCACTAGATCCATCTCATTACATCTAAAAGAGTTGGCTATATAAATAGCCGTGCAGTGAAAGCAGAATATTGATGATGATTTTATACAGCAGGCTTCACTTTGCCCTTCTCTAAGCTCTTTAATTGTAAAAGCAACTGCTTGTTATTTAAAAAAAAAAAAAAAATAACTGAAAGTTTTCAATGGGAAAATTGAGCCCATTGCACCAATCATCCCCAGCATGTTCAATGGCAAGGGTGTTTCTATTCAGATCTGACCTTCAGGCTAATTTTAGATATGCAGCCATGGAAGGAAAACTTCTCCTTGGCTAAGGAATTGTGTGGGTGTTGTGTTTTGGAGAATATATACTGTGATGCTGATATCTGAATGTTCTTTGTGTTAGCAGGCATATTAGAAAATTCCTGTCTCATATAATTAAATGTTACACGTGCTATATACAGTACTTGCCTGCCCTCTCCCCTCTTTCCTGGCCTCTTATGTTTAAAGAAGATCTTATCTTAAAGAAGATACATTACAATCAAGACAGCATAAACATACAGGGAGACCCAATCTCATTACCCTCCAAGCCAGTCCCACTGTCCTGAAAACCAAAGCAGTCAAGGTGACACCGTAGGGCCTCCATGCCAGCCACTGCGCTGCTCAGCATTTCCAAGCCCTTTTGTTTCTCTCTCAGCCTTTTGCTAATAACTGAACAGACATACATCTTGAATCTACTGGTGAGCTGTCCTCTGTGTGAAGAGAAGCTTAACATTGACTTTATTGTAGGTGGTATATAACTATCACCGCAAGAACCACAGGATCTCAAAGAACTTACCAGTCTTTTTCACTCAAAGCAAACAGAGAGTCTTCTGGTGGCTGCAGAAGTCAACTGTTTACAAGCCCAGCCATACAACATTTTGAGACCAGCTGATCCTAAATAGAGACCTGAAAGAATAAAAACAGTACACAAACCCCGAAATTCAGACTTCTCTGAGCCAGAACACCTCCTTCAGGATGACTGTTACATGTGCTGCCCTTGGAAGTTGCTTCCACCATACAACTTGCCACAAAGTGCCTCCACATCTGAAAGGAACCTTCCTGCAGTAAGAATACCAAAAAAAAAAAAAAAAAGGTGCTGAAGGATTAAAAAGAATAACTGCATCTTGCCCAGAACAGTAACTGCATTACTTCTCTCATCCCCTCTGCTGAAGAGATTCCTGCTATAAGACCTGTATCCCCTGAGACAGCATTAATGGGCAATTTCAGATTTCTTATGAATTACTTTAAGTGTCTGCCTCACGGCAGCATTTATTTACACTCAGCTGAGCATAACACAATAATTGTCCAGGTACATTTTAAACCTGGCTGAAAAATAAATCTTTAATTCCTACAATTTTTCTTTTTTTTAAAATATAAAGAGGACATAATAAACAGAAGAGCCTATGGTATCTCTAATGAAGACATAACTGAAAGACAGCTGAGATACCTTGGAGGGGGAATCACAGAGTTCTTAATAAATGTCTATTCTCAGTTCATCAGTTCTCACTTGCCTTTCTTAGCAATCAAACACCATGCAGTTTAAATTTGCAGGTAGGTTGCTCTCTGTGTGAAGCTGAACAGTTGCTTCGTCCCAGATAATATAAAACTACTGCTTTAAGAACCACAGGGATCTCAAGGAAATAATCAGAAAGGATCAACCCACATTGATTAAAGCAGATGCAGAGTCTTCTGGCATCTGCAGGAGCCAAATGTTTGCAAGTCTGGCCATAAAACATTCCCCTCTATTTGCAAATCTGCTCTATTTGCTTCCCAAGTAATTTTTTTTTTTTTTTTTTTTGTCTGCTAAACCTGAGAAATGTGAAGCATTATTTGAAACCTGCTGTTGTCGCTAAGGAGAAATTATCTATCCCCAGCAGAATTCAGTCTGCCAGCGGAGCCCAAATGAACTATGATGTGTTGGCATAGTCTCTTTTTCCCCTTTTCTTTTTCCTACATCTAGAAAATATTGCATGTTATTCTATCTCACCTTTGCTCTTCAGATTTATCTGATTCCTGCCTCCTCTTTTATGACAAATCATCTTTCTAACTACACATGCTGCCCTCCTACAACTGGATATAAAGATCATTCAAATGACTTGCACATAGTAGAACATTCAGTAGTATACAGTTGTCCTAAAACAGCATGTAAAGGCCATCACTTCAGCAAATTTCATTATTTTCTCAGGGACACACAAATACTAAAACCGAGTTTTGTTTTTAAAGGCATCTTACGGCTTTTCTGAATTCAATTGCAAATCACATAAAAAAACATTTAATTTCCAGTACTACCAGATAAATGTCACTGTCCCATACAGTGTGAGTTCATCTCAGGTGAAGCAGAAATCAGGGAACTCTCCAAACTGTATTTACCCATTCACATGAATTACTGAAGTGGCCTTCCCCCTGTCCAACCGACCCACTGATTTCCCTCTCCCAAAAACTGCAGAACAACATACCTCAAGTTAAGGTACCTGAAACCATCCTGTGTTTTCAGACACAGCATTTCCAGACTGCTCCAGGAGTGAGTTTTAGCAGCTCATAACCCTTTTGATTACATGCATTGTGAGTGATTGCAGCCAAACAGTTAAAATCCATTAAAACCAGCTGCTGTGCCATGAATAAGGCAGGAATAATTCCTTGTGAAAGATCTTTCTTCAGGTTTTCACGTTGTGAGCTGCAGATGCATACTCAGTCATGGCCCATGCTAAAACAAGGGAGAGCAGCTCACAGCCCTTCTTTCCTGCTACTCTGTGCAGTGATACCACATAGCTATAAAACAGCAGTGGTGTTGGGCCCCATCAGACACAAAATTTGGCCTCTTTTTCAAGGCCCTCTCAACCTTTTAAATTCTGGCCCAATGCACAGTCTGGATGCGGTGCATGTTCTGAGCTGGTCTTTCAGCATGCTGTCAGAGGAGGCTCTCACTGGCTGTCTGAAATGCTGGGGTCTGAACCCCAAGCCCTGAATTAAAGTTGATGTATGGGTGATTCCCACAGCCCTTCATACAGAGGAGGTGAGTTTGCCTTATAGCTTCCCCCCAGGGTGCGGCCGGCCCTGCAGGGAGAGCCATAAGGGAGATGAGCCCCAGGGGTCCCGCACTGAGTTGACAAAGGTCAGGTGTCTGCTTGGGGATAAAAGCTGGGACCACTTGCAGGGAGTCAGGAGTGTATGACTGGTTCTTCCTGGTTCAGGGCAGACCTCTTGACTCTCCCTGGAGCTGGGCCCAAGTCTGTTTAGACCTTTGCGAACGCAGGCGGATCGGGTGAGAGTTGCCATGTGGGCACCTTTCTTTTATGTATTTAACTGGCTGGTCTGGCTGTTTCCCATGCCAGCTATGGGAAACCTCGGGTCACTGTTTATACCACCTGTTGTGGGCCGAGTCACATCTTTTGTGGGATCGCTGAGGGTGGTGTCGTTTATGTACCAGCTGATTGACTTGTTTGTACCCCCAGCAGTCATTCATGTCACGATGTTTCTGAATACAATACAGTCTGTGTATTGGTTTCTCTTTCTGCTGGCTGTATCATTCTTTTTGGGCCTGGTCACTGGCAGAACACTGTCCCATCTCCAGCATTAATCCCCCTGCTCTACTCCTCCTCCTCCCTCACCCTTTCCTTCTCTCTGGCTGCTTTCTTCTCCTTGACTGATTCATTACTGGAGGCTGAGAGGCCACCCAAGACACTGATCCTGGTTCAAATAGCTCTTCCTGAAGTTGCCCGAGCATAGGAACCTCTTTGTCCCCTGAAGTACGTGCCCAGAACATGCCCCCAGGCCGCTGCCTGCTCCCCCTTGCCTGAGGCAGTGCCTGCCACAGCAGGTAAAGCAGAGGCAGCTCTGCTGGAGTATAATGGTGCCATGCAATGATTCAGACAGTGCAGCAACTCCTAGTTACTCCATCTCCACCATCATCCTGCAGCCCCTTTACTCCTTTCCAGTTCTCAGAAAATTCTCTTGTCTCTGAAGCTGGACGTCTTGCCCCAGGCCCAATTTGCTTGCCTGCACTTTGAGTTGAGCAGATTAAAGCAAGGACTTGGAGTAAAAATTCTGGCACCTCCAAAGTCTCACTGTCCAGCCTTGGCCGACACAAATCCTGCAGAGCCAACTCTGCCTGCTGCTTTTCCATCCTCAATTGCTTTCTTCTCTTTCTCTTCTGATTCCCTTATGTTTCTCCTCCTATCGACAACATCAACATTAAATCGAGAAGCTGCCTTCTCCCCCCTTCCCTCACCTCAGTCATGGCTCTTTTCTTCCCTGGTGCTAAGGAGACTGTGTCACATAACACTGGGACTCCTGGAGCTGCCTGAAATCCCCTGATTTTTAGCTCTTTGAAGGAAGAAAGAACTTTGTAAGAATTAAATACTTCATCATTGTACCACACCAGGCACTGTCTATAAACTACATCACTTCTCCTACGCATGTCATTAGCAGTAATGAAATCTGGGCTGGTCTGTGCCTCGTTAGCATGACATCCATATGCAAATGCATTTCCTTAGCTGAAAGGATCTGCAAAGCCAATGCATGGCTGCTTGGGATGCCTCCAGCAGCCTCTCTCAGGACACAACTGGAATATATATGGAGACTACTATTTACCAGGGAGAGTTTTATGATACTTTTAAATCACAGGATCATTTTGGTTAGAAGACACCTTTAAGATCATCGAGTCCAACTGTTAACCCAGCACTGCCAGGTCACCACTAAAACATATTCATAAGTTCCACATCTGTGTGT